AAAATGTGGTACATATATACAGTGGAATACTACTCAGCCATATAAAAGAACAAAACAATGCCATTTGCAGCAGAATGGATGGACCCAGAGATTATCACATTAAGTGAAGTAAGTCAGAAAGAGAAAGACAAATACAATAACACTTATATGTGGAATCTAAAATATGACACAAATGTACTTATCTATGAAACAGACTCACAGACATAGAGAACAGACCTGTGGTTGCCAAAGGGAGGGGGGCCGTGGGAGAGGGATGGATTGGGAGTTTGGGATTTGCAGATGTAATCTATTATGCATAGAATGGATAAACAACAAGATCCTATAAAGATCCTGTGTATATAGCACAGAAAACTATATTCAATATCCTGTGATAAACCATAATGGAAAAGAATGTGAAAAAGAAAATATATATATATATATATACACACATATATAACTGAATCACTTTGCTGTACAGCAGAAACTTTTTTGTTGTTACAATTAATATAATGATTGTTTATATGCCCATACAGTACCTGATACCTAGGTAAGCACTTGATGAATTTTAAATCTCTTCTCTCTTAGGGTTTCCAAAGGGGAAGCGAGCAGGGAGGGATAAATTCAGAGTTTGGGATTAACAGATACACACTACTACATATTAATATAAAATAGATAAACAACAGGATTTACTGTATAACACAGGGAGTTCAATATCTTATAATAACCTATAGTGGAAAGGAATTTGAAAAAGAATATATATGTGTATACAAATAACTGACTCACTCTGCTGTACACCTGAAACCAATACAACACTGTAAGTCAACTGTACCCCAACAAAAAATGTCTTCTCTCTTTTAAATGGCAGTATGTGGTAATTACAGAAAGTGCTTAAGAAGGGAAAGGTTTGTGTGTAATGAAGTAGTGAGAAAAGATTTTGCAAGGATATGGGACTTTAAGAAGGGAAAGATAAGCTCAATATCAATGCACTTTTTAAATAGATCTTTAAAATAAGTGAGAACCCCAGTTGCTAGACATTGACACTCTCTCATAGATAGGCCAATGTAGCTTTGTGAAGGAAAAAGGCAGGTCTGGAGAGTGTAGTGTAGAGCCTAAAAGCCTGTGCTTTGAATCTACAGATTCAATGCAATCCCTACCAAATTACCAATGGTATTTTTTACAAAACTAGAACAAAAAGTTTTAAATTTGTATGGAAACACAAAAGACCCTGAATAGCCAAAGCAATCTTGAGAAAAAGAAAAATGGAGCTGGCAGAATCAGGCACCCTGACTTCAGACTATACTACAAAGCTACAGTCATCAGAACAGTATGGTACTGGCACAAAAACAGACATATAGATCAATGGAACAGGATAGGAAATCCAGAAGTAAACCCATGCACCTATGGTCAACTAATCTATGACAAAGGAGACAAGAATATACAATGGAGAAAAGATAGTCTCTTCAACAGGTGGTGCTGGAAAACTGGACAGCTACATATAAAAGAATAAAGTTAGAACATTCTCTAAGACGATACCCAAAAATAAACTCAAAATAGAATAAAGACCTAAGTGTTAGACCAGATACTATAAAACTCCTAGAGGAAAACAGGCAGAACACTCTTTGACATAAATCACAGCAATATCTTTTTGGATCCATCTCCTAGAGTAATGTCAAAAAAACCAAATGGTACCTAATTAAACTTAAAATCTTTTGCACAGAAAAGGAAACCATAAACAAAATGAAAAGGCAACCCATAGAATGGGAGAAAATATTTGCAAACAATGAGACCAACGAGAGATTAATTTCCAAAATGTACAAAGAGCTCATTCAGCTCAATATTAAAAAAACCAAACAACCCAATTAAAGAATGGGTAGAAGATGTAAACAGTCTCCAAAAAATACATACAGATGGCCAACAGACACATGAAAGAATGCTCAACATCACTAATTATTAGAGAAATGCAATCAAGGCTACAATGAGCTATCACCTCACACCGGTCAGAATGGTCACCTCCAAAAAGTCTACAAATAAATGCTGGAGAGGGTGTGGAGAAAAAGGAACCCTCCTACATTCCTGGTGGGAATGTAAATTCGTAAAGCCACTGTGGAGAACAGTATGGGGGTTCCTTAAAAAACTAAAAATAGAGTTACCATATGACCCAGTGATCCCACTCCTGGGCATATATCCAGACAAAACTATAATTAGAAAAGATACATGCACCCCTATGTTCATAGCAGCACTATTTACAATAGCCAAGACATGGAAACAACCTAAATGTCCATCGACAGATGAATGGATAAAGATGTGAGTACATATATACAATGGAATACTACTCAGCCATAAAAAAGAACAAAATAATGTCATTTGCAGCAACATGGGTGGGCCTAGAGATTATACTAAGTGAAGTAAGTCAGACAGAGAAAGACAAATATTATATGATATCACTTATATGTGGAATCTAAAAAATAGTACAAGTAAACTTATTTACAAAACGAAACAGACACACAGGCATAGGAAACAAACTTATGGTTACCAAAGGGGGAAGGGGGGAGGGATAAACTGGGAATATGGGATTAATAGATACACACTACCATATATAAAATAGATAAACAATAAGGATTTACTGTACAGCAAAGGGAACTATATTCAATATATTTTAATAAACTATAATGGAAAGAATCCAAAAAATATGTGTCTGTGTATATATATATACACACACACATATATAGTTATAGTTATTTAGTTATATATATAACCAAATAACTATACATATAACCAAATAACTATGCTTCAATAAAAATAAATAAATAAATAAAATGATTGTGTGATCCTCACCTCAGATAAGGAAGCAAATGAGAATGAGTGCTATGGGTTGAATTGTATCCCCCCAAAAGCATATACTGAAATCCTAGGTCCCTGTATCAATGGATGTGCCCTTATTTGGAACCAAAGACTTTGCAGATGTAATCAAGTTAAGATGAGGTCCTTACAGTAGACCCTAATTCAATATGACTGGCTTCCTTTTAAGAACAGGAGAAGACAGAGGCACACAAGGAGAAGATGACCATGTGGCAATGGAGGCAGAGACTGAAGTGATGAACCTATAAGCCAAGGAATGCCAACAATTGGCAGCGAACGCCAGAAGGTAGAAGAGCCAAGGAAGGATTCTCTGCAGGCTTCAGAGGGAGCACGGCTCTGCCCACACTTTGATTTTTGGACTTCTCCCCTCCAGAACTGAGATAATAAAGTTCTGTTGTTTTAAGCCAGCCAGTTTGTGGTACTTTGTGACACAACCCTAGAAAATTCATTCATTCATGGTTAACTCATTTATGGTTGATTTCACACCACAGTGGCAGAGTTGAGTGACTGTGACATAGATGGGCCTGCAAAACCTAAGCTATTTATTATTTGACCTTTTACAGGAAGTTTGCTGAACCCTGGTCTATAGTATGAAAGTAGGATATAATCCAGTGCAAGGCTGTTTATGAGAAACTCTGAATATCATGTATAAAATAAGTATGATGTGCATTCAAAATAGAAACACGAACTGTGGACTGAAGAGGTCAGAAAAGGAATCATGTTGGAGAGTGAATCTGAGCAAGTTAGGAATAGACCAAACTGCACTCTCGGGGTAAAACTGCATTCCGTGTTGAGAAAAAGTAGGCCTTTTGTGCTTTATGGCTGGTAAACAGTGTCTCCCCTTCAATGCACCAATGGCCACCTGTCAGACACATTGAAAAGTCTAAGACCTGTTATGATGTTTGCTCACTATTTCTTTTTTTTTTTTTTTTTTTTCTCGCGGTACGCGGGCCTCTCACTGTTGTGGCCTCTCCCGTTGCGGAGCACAGGCTCCAGACGCGCAGGCCCAGCGGCCATGGCTCACGGGCCCAGACGCTCCGCGGTACAGGGGATCCTCCCGGACCGGGGCACGAACCCGTGTCCCCTGCATCATCAGGCGGACTCTCAACCACTGCGCCACCAGGGAAGCCCTGCTCACTATTTCTGATGGCAAAGGTTGTCTGATGGCTAAAATAAAGTATTTGGTCTTTTAGACTCCAGATACACAGTTGCTTCATTAAAAGATTTCTTTATTTTCCTTGTATCTTTCTTTTTTCTTTTATAGTAAAATGTCTTATAATAATATTTGACTATTAATTAATGATCCTGACCATTATGTGATCTGAAATTATATGTGTAATGATGATAACTTTGTCATTTAGTACTTTGTTATTTGAAATGTATGTTTGAGTACATAATATAATTCTTAAACCACCTGGTGAATTTTTTTTTTTAATAAAATTTTGCTCACCAACGAAGAACTTGAGACTGTAAAGTGACCAGGCCATAGTCACAGCCATGTAAGAAAATGGTGGACCTTGGATGAGTCTGGAAGCAAATTCATTTATCAGTATAAACCACATGCAAGCTAGTACTGCTCAAAATCCTCTAAAATGGTAGTCTCGAAAAAAGAATTTATTAGAATTGTAGAATGTCTTAGTGCAAGGAGTTCTCTTTTCTTAGAATTTATGTAGAATGAACAACTGAATGCCAAAATTTCAATGTTTTTCTTTCTTTTTCTACTTTTAAGATTCACAGAAATTGTGGGTGTAAGCAACTGATCATGTCTCTTTGAGAATTAATCCTCTCTGGAAAGAACTCTGCAGAGCCTTGGTCCTCACCAGATCTGTGGTCCCGGCAGATTCTAGAAAGAATCCCAATGGGAAAAGAAACCATACAGAGATTTTAGTCCATGAGCTTTTTTTTTTTTTTTTTTTTTTTTAAAGAATTCCAGTGATGTCCTCAAGGAGAGGCTGGCTTAAAAACTTCTTGGAAGGAGAAGGAGAGATCTTTGTTACAAACTTCCGTCCCTCCTCCTGCTTCTGTTCCCTTACCCTCTGCCCCCTGCAGAGTTGTGTTTTCTGGGAATCAGCAAGTAAGATCACAAGTGGTCTTTTCTTTTTTCACTCTCTCCCATAAAGAAAGCCTTATCACGTGCGGCCTTAAACTTGCAGCAAATTGCAAAGAAATGGCTCAAAGGCATCAGCTCTTTCTGTGCCCCGGGAGCTGAGATGCACGTCAGTGGCTTTGCCAGCGTGGCCTGTTCCCTGCAGACTGCCAGAGAAAAGAGGCCAGGAGGAAAGAGAAAAGAGAAGAGATTGGCCAAGGGTGAGACCATGCCCTACATCTTTTCTTTCCCCTGATCTGCTCTGTGTCCAACCAGGCTCTCCCCACCTGATAAAACTGCTCAAAGCTGCGGTAGGATCCACCTGCTTCCTCTTTCAGTCTGTGGAGTGTGGTCCAGCCTCTTGCTGGGCACACTGAGAGGAACTGGCTGTCTGATCTCCACCTCCAGGTAAGATCTGGTTCTCTGCTTTCGTATTTTGAGATGATCACATCAGAGTCTCACAGGAAAGAAGTCAAAGAACCCTTATGTTCTGCACTGCACGTGTCTTATCCATAACACTTCTCATGAAACTTGTAGGGGCCCTTGTAAGGATGGTGGAAATGGGAGAGGATACTGGTTAAAGTCAGATAAACTCAGACCTGGGTTCAAATTGTGATTCTGATGCTTGTTTGATGGGTTGTTTTGGACAAGTCACTTCACTGCTCTGAGTCATATGATTTTCTATAAAATGAGAATTATAATGCCAACCTTGTTGAGTTGTTTTAAGGATTAGCACAAAGTATATAAATCATCTGGCACATAAACAGTACTTATTAAATCTGCATCTGACACAATTACTTGCAGTGAGGCAATCAGCTTCCTAACAACACATACTCCTTAGAAAGTACCATGAGGTTATTTTCCCTCCTGAAGGGAGAGATTCTGATGTCCACAAGACAAGCTAGTGCAGAGGTTTTCCTCATGCGAGATGACCAAGACAAGGCAGCGATGGGAGTGGCTACCTTTCTGACTTTCTCTTTGGGGTCTGTGGAGGCTGACTGCTGGATGGAGTCTGTTATGGGATCAGGGTATGGAGGTCATGCTATTTGCACGATCCAACTACAACCTTCCTAGTGCACCTGTACTCTTTAAAGACTGGAGGACTGCCTTCCAAACCCCTGTGAACAGAGAATTCCATTTTTTGGAACTGAAATGAAGAGAAACTGGCTGATTTTTCTCTGGCCTCCAGAGTAAGTACTCCAACCCAGGGTGTTGGAGGAAAACTTTATGGAAATCTGTTCAAGTGGTGGGAGAACAAGTAAGGATTCGACAAATGCAAATCCTGCTAAATAACTGCATTCACTCTACTGCGGCAAGGGGGAGGGGGGGGGGGGGGGGAGAGAGAGGGGGGGGGGGGGGGGAGAGAGAGAGAGAGAGAGCGCGCGCGAGCGAGCGTCAGCAAGCCCGGATGATCTCTCCATTCATGTCACTGAGCGTCGCCTTTCCCCTTCTTTTCACAGATGGATGAATAGCTCAGTGCTCAAAAACGTAGCCTAGCCTCCTTGAAACACACTATACTTGAGAGGATATGCAAATTAGCCATCAAGATGAAACTGTATTTTCAGTAAAACAATGTAGTGTCAGTATTTTAATCTGGATGTTATTCGCCCTAACACAACATCAGCTAGGTGATGTCTTGTTTTGATTATCACTTCTGGATTTGAGTTAGAGTGATTTTTGTGACAATACCTGTAAATATAAGAAGACGTTGTGTTTTGATGTCCCAAGTTTTTAATATTACTTTCAACATTTATTTCCCTCTTTAGCATTAGCATTCTAGATATGTCCCTTTGAATTTTTTAAGATATTTTTAGTATAACTGATAGTGTATTTTATTTTTAAAATAGTGTTGCATTTATTAAAGAACAATCAGCAATATACATATATTTTTATTTTCTTTTTCAATTCAGAGAGGGTCCTTAAGGAACTCCAGGTTATCTTAATCCACTCTTCCTACTGCAGCCAAAGAGAGATTTTTTTTCAACAAAACCTATTTATTTTATTTAATTTTTAAAAACATCTTTATTGGAGTATAATTGCTTTACAATGGTGTGTTAGTTCTGCTGTATAACAAAGTGAATCAGCTTTGTGTTATATATATATATTTTATATATATATATAT